CCTTAATGATTCTATGATTCTACTTGGTGGTCACCATGTAAGACTCTGTATGTGTGTTTGTCTTCCCTTTCCAGCTTGTTGGGATTGTTCCCACCACTCTATTCTCACCTTCATTATTGAATTTCTCATGCAGGGACAGCATGTAAGCTGAGACTTTTTAGTAACCGACTCTAATTTACTTGCCTTGCCAGATGTACGGTGGCTACTGGGGGGAAAAAAGTTTGAAAAACTCCTGGGCGTTACCAGGAGGGATATGGATGACAGGAGAAGCAACTCTGGAAAGCCTTGGTGAATCCACATCCTCAGTACTGTATGCTGTCACATTCTCTGCATCTTATGAAGGACAAAGTTTTGAGTTGGAAAGGTACAAAGCTATACATCTTGTATAAGATGAGCCTAAATAGGCTGCAGTTTTTAACATCCCTACCACTGGAGGATATGAGAGGCATGGACTGCAGAAAAAGGCAAGACTTATGTGTGCCTCCTAAATAGCATGTCCTGTTGCCACTGTTAGGGACAGAATACTGGAATAGACTTACGAGGATAGCTCCAGCCCAGGAGGACACTTTGTATGTTCGTAGGACATGTAGTATAGAGAAGAATGGAATGGAAAAGTGGTTATGTTTTAATTACTTTGACAGCCTCTGTCCTGTAGTTTCTTTGTATCATAGTTAGACCTCTTTCTCCACTGAAACAGTAAATGCCAATCCCAGTGGTTGAAACCCTGAAATAATTAGAAGTGCCGTAATAAGATTGCAGAGGAAAACACATCTGTAAATTTTTGAGTCTTTAAACACAGTACAGCTCAGAAATAAAGATCAAAATTTTATTTCCATGTTGGTAATAAAAATAATTCCATGACTTCTGTAAACCATTGCATAAACGCTATAGTGTAGAAAAGTTTTTAACAAGTGTTAACAATTTTAAACAGTTCACTACAAACAAATGAGTATGCATTATAAATAATATGTTTTGTATTATGAACAATTTCATTCACAAAATCATTTCTGTCTGTACACTCAAAACATTAACGGCTTCCATAAATTAATATGAGTAGAAATTCCATATTTATTTAGGGTCTGATGATGACCACAGTTACACAAGCATAGTGTGACAGTAATAATATCACTACCTATATTTAATACTAGGATACTCTGAATGGCAATACAGAACAAAACAAGTATGTCTTTAATAATCTGCTAATCAAAGACGACTAATAATAAGCCTATAACATGCAGCTTGGGATCTATCTGTAATTAGCATACTTCCGGTTAAATTACAGCTCCTAACTGTAAAACCCCTGAGAAATCACAATTTTAATCTATTATTCCCCAGGCTAAAATAATTGTGAAAACATAATGGCATTCACATTAAAAATTATATTCTTACATAAATTAACACAGAACTTTGTCAAATACCAAAATGAATCTTGAAAATCTATTTAGTTTGCTTTTATGTATTTTGTGAATTCAGCAAACTACCATACTGTAGTCTCGCTAAAATATAATTTTAATGTATCTAGTTTCTAGATAGTGTATATAGTACAAGGACGAATACTTACAAAGATCATGTTTCTCTTCTGATTTTTTCCAAATAGTCATCTCTAGTCAACTGCATATATTTTGTTATCCTCCATTTTAAAGTACTGGTGTAAAAGTACATATTTATTTTTATTTGCAGTTGACTTGCTTTAATAAGATACAGAAAACTTTGCTTGTAATTCCTCACAAAAAGAATTTTGTGAAGAACAACTGTATTATTTTTCGATGACTGCTATGTATGATGATGTATGGTTCAGGTGATTACCTAAGGATTCTTCTATAATTACAGCGAGCTGCCCAGTCTGAGAATTTCACACATAGGTATGTTTCTTTGGTATGTGTTTTTTTCTTTCTCCAGAATATGGTTTGTTGATATGTGTCTGTAATTCAGCACCAGAGAAGCTTACAGGGAACACCTGCAAGATTTTCAGTATTGATATTACTATGGGACACACATCATTATTTTCAAGATTCATCATTGTAAAACACAAAACATACAACTTTAAAAAGCAACAGACTAAACATATTAGTTCATTTCCTCTAAAAATGCAGCACATATAAACTATGAATGTCAAAGTGATGATTCACACTGCAAGTGCTCTTTACATTCCTTTTTTGTTGGTGTCACAAGATTAGGAAAATCGCCTGTTACTACCAAAAAAAAAAGGGACCAAAAATAGCCCTAGGACATAGGCAAAAGCACTAAAATACACGTGAAGGACTCTAAACTTTGACAAGACAGCACAAAACCACACTTCTGTATCTCATGAGTAACAAACGTCACATAGCTGCAGATGGGCAGCACAATGTGGCCTAAGCTGGTTTCTTCTAAAATACCAAAGCAAAAATTTTCACTAAGATATTTCTAAATGTTTTTGTGAGCACAATAGTTGCAGAATGCTGTTCCACACTAGATAAATATAGTAAACCGGTGTCCAAAATAACTGCTTGTTTGAAAAATATGTAACATAATTTCAAACTATAATTACACATTATTTGATTTCCTCACTGTTTAAAAAAAAAAAAAGCTTACATAACTAAGTTTGCTTTAGTCCAAAATGCTGTTAAAGTTCAAAAATCAGTCTTTGTCATAGACTGCACAGATGCAAAAAATACATTAATACCTACAACCAAACTTGGTGATCCAAGTTCCTTTTTTTAAAAGTCTAAAGCTGGCTACACCTTTAAAACAGCAATATCTTATTTTATGACAGAAAAGTATGTTTGTAAATGCAAATACAGTCCAATTTTATACTTTTCTCAGTACAAACGTTTTAGAGAAACTGTGTTAAAGTCAACAAAATCACATTATTAAACCCAACTTTGGTCTTTAGAGTGATCAGACAAAATTTTGAAACAGAAGCAAGTAGAAACGTATTTAATATTTTATCCTACTTCGCTCTTCCCAAAAGGTCTCCAACATTCCTGCAGATCGACACATCTTAGGAAAGCAGCGACAAGTCTGTACGTTCAGTTCTCACAGAAAATGTGTAATGATTTTTTGCTAACTCAAGCCTTTCTACAAAGAACGCTAAAACCCAAAGGAGATAGTGATTTCAGTACTATTGGCTTGGGCCCTTTATTTAATGCTGACACAGTTTGAAAAGCTCTATCTTGACAATAATAATTTTAGTATACATCTTTTTTTTTGTTTTAGCATGACTGAACTTTAAATAGATTAACTCTTGCTGCCTGTGTGAACTCACTTTTTGTACTGAATACAGTAACAGAGATACAAATCATGTAACACAGTAGTAGGTCATTTCAATCTAAGTGGTACTAGTGTCACACCTGAATTTAACAGAAAAAGGAGTAATGCAGGCAATTATTCCATGTAAGAAAAGTAAAAATATACAGTGTTAACATGCAGTAATTAATTAACTTCTCCTGAATTGCATGTTCCCAACTACCAGGATGAAGTAAGGATATTACCACCTTTTAAAAGAATCACTGTGTCAAAGTGCCACTGCCTGATTACATACTTAAATAATTTTGTAGTTCCTTTCAAACATGCATTACTTCATTACTGAAAAAAGTGTATTTTTAAATATTTATAAAAGCAAGAGACATACTCTAGTTATTGTCAAATTGTTCAATACAAAATTAAGCAATAGAAATTATTTGCAAAATTATTTTTTTATGTCTTTTGCCATTTTATAGGATATTGGGCATAGGCACTTGGTAATATTATATATATCATATCTGCTCACGATAAGTACCATACAGGTTAGGAGATGTACAAAAACTTTAAGAATAAAAACACCCAAACTGAGGGAAATAGGCAAATGCACAGTTGTTTACTAAAACTGATTTGTTTCACAAAATTGAAAACATGTCTTTGAGTATGAAAGCATATATGCCTCACTGGTTTTGTCTCCGCTGGTACATTTATAAATACTACAGTATGCAGTTAACTTATAAATTGTAAAAAAACTAGATAAGTTGTCATTTCTCTTTAATCATATTGTGATTTAACAGTAAAACCATGTGAAATATTTTAAATTCACAGTACACATATAACATGTCATATTATTGCATATTAAAAAATAAACATAAGACCTAGAAAGCAGCTTGAAGCAATTTACAACATATCTTCTAACAAAACACAATAATTAAAAAGTGCTTTTATATTAATCAGAGTTTTTCAAACATCCAAGTAAACATAGTGTTAGACTGATTCCAAAATACTGGCTCTGGCATTCCACACACAACAGACATGGCAAAGGGACCATTTGTACTGTTAAGTGTGTAGTTACTGTATCTACATATCCATCTTCTGTTAATGAAAATAACAGGTATAAACACTTCATTCAGGCATTATGGTAAGATTTATATGAAGTGATTACAGTGCAAATGAACCTAAGTAGCTTGTGCACTAGGAATGTAAGTGGAAGTCAGAAAAGGCTGCGATGGGACTGGGGGGGAATGAAAGAACCTCAAGACTATAGAACATCATGAAATGAAGTTGATACATAAAAGTGAGCAAGCCTTATTCTCTATCTTAAAGCAACTAAGTTTCTCACATCAAAATGGAAATCAGTCTAGCACTATTAAATGGATTAATTATGAGTGATACAATTCTTATACAAAATACAGAAACATAAAATTATTTAATTCATGAACATGATGTGAGTACTATGCCTCTATGTTACCACAGATTTTTTTTTTTCTTGCAGCAGGGACATTCTTCTTGTGCAGCTGCACAGTGATCACAAAGTACATAATGTTGACATGGATTCAGGATAATGCTACGATCACCTTCCTGACATACGATACACTTCTTTGACTGAAGCTGAAAAATCACCTGTAAAAAGATTATTGCACTCAGTAGAAACGATTCCAAATATACAGTTGCGTTCTAGCAGCTTTATGCTTAGCTATCCCGAATAAACTTCTAATTTAACAACACAAAGGAGAATGCTTTTGTATAACAGACAGCTGAATTGAGGGTCATAAGATCAGAGCACGTGCAACCTTTAAAATAGCAGCTGGAGGAGTATAGGTGCTTTTAGAAAGGAAAATATCTAGGATTAAACCTCTAGACTGAAATTTTCCTGCATAATTGGGATGAATGATGCAAACAAGCAAAAACAAAAAAAAAGACGAAATAAGCCTTTTTCATTGACATATACTCTCTCATTTTGCCATTTCAAACCACTGTTACATTTTCTCATGCCGTGGGAGATGTTCGTATTAGGACAAAATGGAAGCATCCCAAATGTGCGACACTCTGAATAAAGCTACTGATACAGACTTCAGGGAGGATGTTACAACTGCAAATAAATGTCTCCATGCGATAAGCCATATCAACCCTATTAAGGAAAAAGAAGATCTGAGAAGCATCTAAAAGCCGTGTTAATTTTTGAAGAGCAAGATATGGTTCGGACTAAGAGAAGAACCCAGAATGCTATGTGTGGCACTGCCTAAGACAGCAGCTTTCTCCTGGAAGGAAGAGCTAAGTGAGAAGAGGCCACAGTGGTAAAGGAAACCTGGGAAACTGAGGAGCCGGAAGAGGTGGGAATGATTCTGATCACTCCAGCCTGGCTGAGATGACTTCCATTCCAGGATGTAATGACTTTTTTGGTAAGAGATCCCAAGACTCTTTTGCTCCTCTTTAAAATCCCTTAGGAGAAAAACAATAGTTGTCCCTAATCCAATCCAGAATCCTGTAAACGTACTTGGTAACAGGAGCCTGGTAACTAGCAAGTCTTGTCCTCATCCACCTAGTTTATTGACAAAGACTTATATTTTTTTTAAAGAGTTTTAAACTTCTAAAGAGAGCCTGGCTGTTTTTTCAAGGCTGTTGTTCATACTGATACAGATGGCACTGGACAGGAGGTGCACTGAGACAGAGAAGACACTGCTGAACTCAAACAGGTACTAGAGTATGGCAGACTGTCCCAGTAGTGAAAGGAAAGACTAGATATAAGGAAGAAATTTTTTACAATGAGGGTGGTGAAACACTGGAACAGGTTGCCCAGAGAGGTGGTAGATGCCCCATCCCTGGAAACATTCAAGGCCAGGTTGGACGGGGCTCTGAGCAACCTGATCTAGTTGAAGATGTCCCTGCTCATTGCAGGGGGGTTGGACTAGATGACCTTTAAAGGTCCCTTCCAACCCAAACTATTCTATGATTCTATGAAATCTTTTTTTTCTCTGGACAGTCCCATCACAGTTAAAATGAAACAACAAGAATTGGTGTCATATGTGGTGTCATTGCCCTTTGAGATTGCAGGGGAGAAAGCAATGTAAAACCAAGTTGTGCCCAGCAAGGTTTGAAGTATGGTGCCTGGAGCAGTGCATGGTCATTATTATCTTCCTTGATGTGCTCAGAGGAGTGGCTTTGAGAGCCCTGAGAAATGCCCTCAATCTAGCAGCAAAAGAGCATCCGAAATTTTGGCAGAAACTGAGTCTGGATTTGAGAGAAGGTGAAATACAGCAATATGCCTCTAAGGTGATTAAGGGACTGAAGCATCTGACATATGAGGAGAGGCTGAAAGAGCTGGGATTGTTTAGCCTTGAAAAGAGATGGCATCTTACCGGTGTGTGTAAATACCTGATGGGAAGGAGTAAAACAGATAGGGACAGACTCTTCTTGGTGGTATCCAGTGAAAAAAGAGGCAGCGGGCACAAATGAAAATACAGAAAATTCCACATAGAGATAAGAAAAAACTTTTCTTACTGTGAGGGTGGTCAAATACTGGAAAAGGTTGCCCACAGAGGTGGTGGACTCTCCATCCTTGGAGATACTGAAAACACTACTGGGCAAGGCCCTGAGCAACCTGCTCGAGTTGACCCTGTTTTGAGCAGAGGGTTGGACTGGATGATCTCCAGAGGTCCCTTCTAATGTCAATGATTCTATGCTCCAAGTCTGTACTGGCCTTTCTGACTACACAAACTCCTAGCAGGGAACCTTGCCATCTATCTTCTAAATAAGTGAAAAACATGTAACTATTTTCATTTATTTAGGGCAACTGTTTTTATTTATTTAGGTAGTGCCCAAAACATTGGGAGTAAAAGCTGGCTTTAAATCTTCTTTTTAATCACCCCAAGAATTCTTGTGAATCACTTGTAATTTGTTCTGATAGCTGATCAAAAACTTAGAAGAATCCATTAGGTTGAGAAATCTGAACCATCCTCTAGTCCAGAAAAGAAAGACTTAACACTGAGAGCAATGTTGCTCTTTGAAATGAAACCTGGAATAAATATGTCATTGAAGGTTACTGAGCTGCCAGTTTCAGTTAATCAAAAATAGTTATGCAGATGAAGAAACTCACCTCATCTATTGTTTCTAAATCTAAGTGCAGCCGATTTTGTAAGGAACGAAGCTTTGGCAAGGATATCTTTTCTATATCTCCATAGTTTTTCATATAAGGTAATGTAGTAGATAGACAAGCAGCTAATTGCACCTTCAGCTTTTTTAATTTATTTTCCACTTCCTCCTTCTTCTGAAGAGCAAGTTGTTTGTCCGCATCTGCGATGTTAGCACGTTCTTTTGCTTCCTGAGCCTCTTTCTGCCATGCATCACATGCCTGGGAGAAAGAGATTTCCAGAATATAAAAAATAAATTTTTTAAATTAACAACAGAAAAGCAAATTCAAAAGCCTTCAAAGATGCACGTAATCTCTAATTTTAGACATAACAATGCACTTACTGTCAATTTAACACTTCTCCCTACTTATCCTACCTTCTATTTAACAACTCTTCTTGTTTTGTCTTTATGTAATTTTTAGGTATGTCACTGTTACTGGTCTGTAAACAGCCAGAAGCCTTTTTGGAGCTCTATAAATGGAACACATTTTAAATGTTAAATTCATAATTTAATGTCAAGAGACATCAAAAACTGTCAAAATTTAGGACAGCTACTTAGCTACTCCTCGTCACAGAGAGAACAACATGAGGGGAAGGAAAGGACTACAGAAAATGCACTAGACTGGCAGTTATCAACAACCTCAGTTTGACTGCTGAGATAGCTAGATACTGTCCAGGTACACTATACAACCACAGCAGCTGGCAAGCCTCTACTTTTTTTGCATGCTTATCATCTGAAAGAGGTACGGGAGGGAATGTGTGTCTTTACTTACTTAAACATCAAGTTACATTGCTGTTCAGCCCTATCCTGAATATGGGTAAGTGTCCCTGTCTAGAGAGGCAGATCAACTTTCAGAAAATGAACTGCCCTTTAAAAAGCTCAGTTTCCTTTATGCTGCTAGCCCATTTTGAGGATGGAAAAACCATTCCTTTGACAGATTGTAATAAAACTCTGGGTCCAAGGATAAGAAGATATGTAAAACAGAAAAGCCGTAGGAGCTGCTTGTTTGCTAAAAAAAATACATATATATGATTTAATATTACCATAAATTAGCATACCTGTTTTACTTGTTGCCAAGATTCTTCCCATTGTTTTAGTTTTCTCTTGGCATCATCAAGTTCCTGTTTAACTCGAGTTAGTTCGTTCCCACTGGTGTTTGAACTTATTGAGGGGGTAGTGCCACTGCTTAATACTGGGGATGGACTAGGAGAGAAACTCCCAGTTACAAAGTCCCAGATGCTTCCTGTAACACCATTTAAACCTGTAAAACAAAGGCAGAAAAAATAATCATTCTGCACACACTACTGCAAAATGTTTCACATGCAGGACAAAATAGAGATGCCACATATGCAAAATTTATACTTTTATCTGCAATATATGTGACAGTCTGGAAAATGTTTACAGTATTCAGAGCAATTCAGGAGACTTACCACATGTTTTTTTTCTTGCCGCTTTTAATAGAAGACAGTACAGTCCACAAAAGGAGAAGGAAGAGTGGGAATTCATTTATACACAAAAAGCTTTGTTCCTAGCAGCTCATACATTATTTTAATTCTTCCTCTTTCTCTGTTTTGTATTTTCCTTTAGCAAAATGCTTTCCTGCTGCCAGTATGCCAACTGCTCTATTTTACCCCTTTCAAATGCCTCTGTAAGTATCTCCTTTTCCAAGAATTCTTTTTTTCCTTTCACTAGGAATGGAAGTTCACTCCTTGAACTTACTCCCACATACCACAAATAACTCCATTATCAGTAGTGTTATCAATTACAATAGCTAGGCTTTGTTGTCCAGATTAAGTCATAAGAAACATGCAAAGCCTTGAACTGAACATTTCTTACCTGCCATTAAGTTCCCTCTTACAATACACAAAGTGCAGCCTTCAACTTACTTACCTAAAGAGTTGTGAGAAGAGGCTGAGGTGCCTAACATACTATGTTCTGTCTTCAAAGGCTGAGGTTGCTGGTGGTGAGGAGCCGTAGTGGATGACACAAAAGACTGAGACAGTGATTGTGAAAGAGAACTGAGTGGAGAGGTTGAAAGGGATGATGATGAATGTAAAGATGAGGAACGAACAAGAGAACCTGGAATATTGACAGGTGCTGAACTTCCCAGTAATCTTTGACCTATGTATGCATTGGGGGGGGGGGAAAAAAAGATTAGTTCTGAAGCAATATACAGCTCTCTGTAAATATTTTTCTGAAAAATGTATCAAATGTAAATTAAATTATATATTCAAATACCTTCCATTAAAAAAGAAAACTTTATTTATTTCCTATTGCAAAAATATTTTTAAAATTGAACACTTGAAAGTAGTTTTCCAAGTGCCTGAAAACAGAATTTGTAGCTTTACACAGCAGTGGCCTCATCTGCAGCTACAAAGAAAGAGAAAACACTTTTCAGACCGATCTATTCAACTTACTCATTTTTACAGCCAACAACTAACGCAAGTGGAGAAACTGACTGAAACTTAAAGGATTAAGAAAAATTTGGGGTCTATTTTAATGTATAAACGAGTTAAGCAAGTGAGACTACATACCTTGAAAATCATACATGGCATAATAATCAGACATAGCTCAATTTCTTTCCTCTACACACTTTTGCTTTTGTTCAGTAGTTTTTAAATGTCAAATGTACTTAACTCTCTATGAAAACTGAGTTTGAAACAAAGTAAAAATTAATAATAAGTTAGTCAAACAAATGCATTGTTCGTAATTTCCCAAAATGATGATAATAAAAAATAGGTATTAAAAAAAGGATGTTCAATCATGCAATTACTTAAATAAACATGCACAGATGCAGTGCATTTTCCTGTCAAGAAACAGTTCAATATTTACTGTGAAGCTTTTATTCATCAGTATGTTTGAATAGCAACTAAAAATGACATCACCTTTTCTTTAAAAAAAATATAGCAGTCAAATGATTATACTTAAAGCAAGGGTCGTGATTTTAGTTTTCTGTTAAAACAGGTGAATTCATGTCATCACAGAGAACATCATTCCTTTTAGAAGTATTTCAAAACAAAAAAACTGGGATGCTCATTATAAGCTGCATTGCCACAATGTCTTCAGAAAAATATATCTTGAAATACTCAGCAAATGTTACCAAGGTCAGCCTCATGATCAACTATATGAGGAAGATACAAGACAGACATATAACCACAGACGTACATAATATACCAGACAATAAACGTACACTGCTCTTTGCAAGAGGAGCAAGGAAGCAACGAAGTAAAGGGATTGTAGTTAAAAAAATCTGGCCAAGTAAGAATTCTCTTAAAAATTAACAGCCAAAGTAAAGCCCCTGTCCTGGTTTTGGCTGGGATAGGGTTAAATTTCTTGCTAGTGCTGTGTTTTGGATTTAGTGTGAGGAGAATGTTGATAACACACTGATGTTTTCAGTTGTTGCTAAGTACCCTCCTAGTCCAAGGACAGCTCCCATGCCTACTGACTGAGCTAGGTACACAAGATGGGAGGGAACATAATCAGGACAGCCAGCTCAGCTGGCTAATGGGGTATTCCACATCATGTGATGTCATGCCCAGTATATGAATGGTAGGCGTGATCCAGGAAGTACCGATCGCTACCTGGTTATCGGTCAGCGCGGGTGGTGAGCAATTGCATTGTGCATCACTCATTTTGTATATTCTATCATTAT